CTAAACCTGACAGAACCATGGGGTTCTACTGCAGAAGATCTAAACCTGACAGAACCATTAGGTTCTACTGCAGAAGATCTAAACCTGACAGAACCATGGGGTTCTACTGCAGAAGATCTAAACCTGACAGAACCATGGGGTTCCACTGCAGAAGATCTAAACCTGACTTTTTTCTGGAAAGAATGTGACTGTTCAGAAAACTGCAGGATCTCCATCCCAGGAAAACAGAACCGCTCATGTCTCTCAGTAAAAACAAAGAATTAAGCTGTTATCAAACACATGAAAGCAAATCTGACCAACAATAGTTTAATGTTTCCATGAACGATTTAGAAAGACTGTAAATGTTTAAATAACTTTGATAATTGATGGTTTATCCTGATCCAGGGCTGCTGCCCTTCAGTCCAGGACTTGTGCAGGAACACTGCGGTCCAATGCTCAGACTAAAGCCACCTTCACTGCAGATCACTTACCTGCAGACACGCCGAGCATCAGATCCACGACACAATCCCGGAAATGACGCTTCTGGTTATTTAGAATCAGTCCGCCGGTTCTGTTCGATCCAACAAGAAACAGTCTGACACCGAAAAGCGACCAATGTCGTAGCAGCGCGCGCCCTCGGCCTGGTTTCCTGTGGTCTTTCTTCACCTGCAGGGTTCAGTTCTGCTGCTCACGCGCCCAGGTGAGAACAGAGGTTGGACTGAAGAGAGCCGTTGCTGCCGCTGCTGCTGCGGTGGAGAGAAGAGGTGGAGCCGCTCGGAGAGAGAGCTGCTGAATCATCCTCAGTCACCAACAACTCCCGTTTCTCTGTCATCGAACCCCGAGAATCACCGGAACCAACCCGGAACCACCGCAGAACTCCCAATAAACCAAACCTGATTCACAGCTTGGCCCAGAACCGAACCGGACCAGGAAAGTGGTCCTCACTCTGAGGCCAAGACAGGAGCACAGACACACACAGCAAGTCTGACGTCACCTTCCGGTGGTAAACGTTAGACACAGAGAGGTATGGCAGGCCGTTTGGACATTTATTGAAAGCTTTTTTAAAAATCTCTAAAATAAGATCCTTCCTGGTCAAGAATACATTCCTACTTGTCAGAACTGTGAAAATGGATGTCATGGATTACATTTCTGCCAGCAAAAAAATACATTGCAAGATGCAGAAAATATAACTGTTTGAATAAACTTTCAGATACCTAGAAATCTTTAAACAATTGTGTCAGTTTTGACATTTATTAACTTGAATGAATGTATATTTCAGATGTCAAATGCATTTCTTACTAGTCAAAATAAACATTTCAGACAATTAAAATAACATTCTTCCATCTTAAATAAAAAAAAATATATAATTCTTACTAGTACAAATTGTATCATGTTTCCCAATCCTGTGTATTGGGCCTTTACTTCAGATATTAAATATATCTAATAATAGAATAGAATAGAATTGAATTGAAAATTAATTTCAGACTGAAAGCTCTGGCTTTGGGCAAGACACTTCACCTGCGGGGAGGGGAGTGTGAGGGGATGAGCAGCTGGGATCTCACGAGAGCTGTGTGCATAATTATAATAAA